GAGGGGACTCCGAGCTGGAGCAGGGGGAGGGTTCCAGCTCGGGGTATGGGCTCTGGAGTGGGGCTGGGGATGAGGGGTTGGGGGGGCAGGAGGGGATTCCAGGCTGGGACCAAGGGGTTTGGAGGGTGGGAGGGCATCAGGGGTGCAGGCTCCCAGGGGTGTTTACCTCAAGCAGCTCCCGGAAGCAGCGGCATGTGCCCCCGCCCCCTCCTATGTAGAGGCACAGCCAGGAGGCTCGGCATGCTGCCCCTGAAGCTCCCATTGGTCATGGTTCCCAGCCAATGGGAGCTGTGGGGGCGGCGCTTGGGGCGGGGACAGTGTGTGGAGTCCCCGGCTGCCCCCTACGCATAGGAGCCAGAGGGGGAACATGCCACTGCTTCTGGGAGCCGCGCGGAGCCCCGGCCCCGCTCCCCGGCTGGCGGGAGCTTGAGAGCCAGATTAAAATGTCTGAAGGGTCAGATGTGGCCCCCAGGCTGTAGTTTGCCCACCCCTGGGCTAGGAGCACATCCAGTGCCCACTGAAAACAAGGGGAGTCTTTCCATTTATTTCAATGGACATTGAATTACGCCCTGATTAAGTAACAGAAATTACCTATACCACATTCTCTTCAGTCTGGATTTTTTTTTCAGTGAGTGATATGAGGTAGCTTTAACTGTAAACTAAGGCTCACTACCATGTGTAAGAACATGGCTTTAGACTATCCATCACATCAGATGTTTCCAATATTCTGGGTAAAACAGTTATACAGCATTAAGTGGTTTTGTCTCCATTTTGATACTTGACTGTAGGGTTTAAGGTATTATTCAATCTTGGAGTCTCTTGTCAGTTGCATGTGTCCTTTTTCTTGCAGGAAAACCAACTGAAAGCTGATACTGACACCCCCCCACCCCACCCCCAAAGATGAGAAAAGACATGAAGCTACGAAATGCACGGGGTCATTTTTGGGGTTCAATTCTGAAGTTCTTGCTCAGGCTGCACTCCCAATGAACTCCATTGGGTTTTGTCTGCAGAAGCAGGCAGTGTGTTCTGAAGAAACGATCAGGGGCCTGAGCATCGGGCTGTTCTGAGTTCAAATGGGATGTTTTTCTAAAAGATCTGTTCTAGGAATTATTTTGAAGAAGTTCCATGGCCTGTGTGATACAGGAGGTCCAGATGAGATGATCACAATGGTCCCTTCTGGCCTAGGAATCTCTTAATCTAAATCCTGGTTTACCCATTAATTTGTTCTGCACCCTGGGATGAGTCCCTTCATCTTTCTGCCTCAGTTTCTCCATCTGTAAAATGAAGATAATATTTGTGATGGGTTGGATCACAGGAACCCCCTTGAAAACTGCCCAGTGATGTGCCAAGACTGCTTCTGCCCTGGCTTTCCCTGCCAGCTTGGGACCCCAGCACCCTGTCTTGCTGAGCCAGACACGCCCATCTTCTCCAACACAGATCCAGGGTCTGAATTACTTGCCCCAAATCTGCAGACTTAACTGAAAGCAGCTTACAGAAGTGTTCTTGTCTTTAACATTCAGATGCCCAGCTCCCAATGGGGTCTAAACCCAAATAAATCCATTTTACCCTGTATAAAGCTTATACAGGGTAAACTCATAAATTGTTTGCCCTCTATAACACTGATAGAGAGAGCTGCACAGCTGTTTGCTCTCCCCCCCCAGGTATTAACACATTCTGAGTTAATAAGTAAAAAGTGATTTTATTAAATACAGAAAGTAGGATTTAAGTGGTTTCAAGTAGTAACAGACAGAACAAAGTGTATTACCAAGTAAAATAAAATAGAACACGCAAGTCTATGTCTAAGAAACTGAATACGAATAAAATCTCACCCTGAAAGCTGTTTCCATAAGTCTCTTTCACAGACTGGATGCCTTCCTAGTCTGGGCATAGTCTTCCCCCTGGTACAGCCCTTGTTCCAGTTCAGGTGGGAGCTAGGGGATTCCTCATGATGGCTCCTCTTTGTTCTGTTCTACCCATTTATATATGTTTTGCATAAGGCGGGAATCCTTTGTCCCTCTGGGTTCCCACCCTCACCCCTCCTTCTCGATGGAAAGACACCAGGTTAAAGATGGATTCTAGTTCAAGTGACATGATCACATGTCACTGTAAGACTTCCCCACTTGCCAGCACACACGTACACAGGAAGACTTGCAAGTACTGTAAAACAGAGCCATCTGCAGTCAATTGTCCTGGTTGATGGGAGTCATCAAGATTCCAAACCAAAATTAATGGCCCACACTTTGCATAATTACAATAGGCCCTCAGAGTTATAATTCATATTTCTAATTTCAGATACAAGAGTGGTACATTTATACAAATAGGATAACTGCACTCAGTAGATTATAAGCTGTGTAATGATACCTTACAAGAGACCTTTTGCATGAAGCATACTTATATTCACACTCATTAGCATATTTTCATAAAATCATATAGAATGCATCCCAATATTTAACTACCTCCTCCTAGTGATAGTCTGAGGATTACTTAATTAACAGTTTTAAAATAGTTCAAACATGTAAACCTATAAAATTGCTAATTATTATTATCAGGGGGTTCTGGATTGGCACTTAGATGCCACACTGTTAGGTGCTTTAGACATACCCTAAGTCGATTAGACCAGAGCCTAAAATGGACTGAGTGAAACAGATAAAAAGGATTGAGATGTCTTTTATTGTCATTCAGTTGATTATGTGATGGCAGGGAGTGGGCTTAATGTCCCAAAAGGTCCCTTCCAGTTCTGTGTTCCTAAAACCAGAAATAACAAAGTCTGGCTGAGCGAGAACTTTAGTGATTGTTACATGTGTAGCAGGGTGAAAAACATTGTACAGTGCATAAAATAATCATGTTTATACATGTGCTCTTCAGTCATCTGCAATATTCCCCCTTCAAAGGTTTGTACTAACCTAAAGAGAACCAAAGGCTCAAAAATGGATCCCCTCTTAGCTTGCACTAAAAGATTTCTATGCACCCAACTGATTTGCCATAATAAATAATCTTCACAATTTTGTCTCGCTCTTTAACTGCTCCCATCCATTAAAGTATCCTCATGGCAGAGCCAAGTGGAATTACACAGACCTAGAGTTCTTGCTGCTTATTAGAATGAGGTGCTGGCTGAAATCTTAACACTGTTTTAGTTTTGTTTTGTTTTGGCAGGGGGGTTGCACTGTCATCAGGTGGGCTTAGCTGATGCAATTCTCATTTCTGGAAATTTCCACACATTTTGAAATCTTACTAAAGTACAAAAATAAACATCAGGGAAATGTAATTGAAATGTATGTTAAGTGGTGATAACTGACAAAATCTGAAAATCCTACACCTTCTGGGGGAACTTTTCATTATATCACCATAGGTTTTTATTGAGATGGCCTGACAGACTCTCCAGCTGGTTACCAATTATTTTTGTTTCCTAGTTTACACACTTCAATACTCAAAACTTCTAAGTATGTTGACTTTTTCCCTGCCAAAAGAGTTCTATGTGCTTCCAAATTATACAGTGATGGAGGATTTGTGCAGTGAGGCCTAGTGGATAGAGCACTGGAGTGGGACTCAGGAGATCTACTTTCTATTCCTGGCTTGGCCACTGGCCTGCTGAATAAACTTAAGCAAGTCACTTCACTGATCCTCAGTTTCCCCCTCTGTAAAATGATGATGATGATGCATACCTCAGTTAGAAAGGGCCATGAGCTATATGGCGGAAAAGCTCTATTTAAGCGAGGTGTTGTCATATTATTATGATGCTAAATAGTTAAAGAAAACTATATTGCTAACCATGGCTTCCTAAATCACAAATTTAATTATTTTAGGTTTCATGTACCACTGCGTAAGTAGAGCTCAGCAAAAGCCCTGGACTTGCCTCACTTTACGAGGAGAATAAAATTATCCACGCAGGCATTAACCATTATGTAGGACTCTGCTGAGTCCTGAGTAGTGAACTATATCCAAAATATCACTTTTTTCAAGCTGTTCTCGATATTCTTTGTTTCTGCACAGATACCACAGGATAAGTGTGGTGCATACAGACAGATAAGAGATGGGGCGGCAGCCTTGTGTAATGACAGGGCACTTTCTGATCTGCTGAGTGATTTTGGCCAACTCATTTAGGCTAGGATTTCAAAGAGGACTAGGGGAGTTTGCCACCTGACTTTTAATGCGAGCCTAATGAAGCAGGTCTTTTTGGGCACAGTGCATGCAATGGCACTAATATTTGTTTCCTGTTGTGCAGAATATGAGTGCCAGTGGGAACAATCACCTAGAAATCAGCATTTAAAAGTTAGTGAAGATCATTGTTTGACTTCTAGTCCCTTTTTCATGACACCAGACAGATGGCCAAGTCACATACAAAAATAAATGGGAGACAAGCTAGTCAGAGCTAATAAGTAACTTCTCCATAGCTTTTATTCATATCTGATCAAAGTGTTCTCTTTATCATAGATATAGTTATAGACCCTAAATCATTGTAGTACCGGTGTCATTCTGGCCTCATTTCCAGAGCTCCGTGCCACACCTGAGGTGCTTTAAAAGCGCTGCAGCTGGGGTGGCTCAGCCCTAATAACAGTAATGGTCAGGGAGTGGCTGATTGTTTCACAGAGCCAGGCTTTTTCAACATCAAGCTGGGAGAAGCAGGCTCGCTGGTTCTTCATCAGGTAACAGAACCTTTTTAAGGCATAGTTAAAGGCTCTGGGGAAACAGTATGCAAAGGTCACTTATTATTTATCTGGACTGTTAGCGTATAGGGATTCTAAACATGGATGAGAACCCCATTGAGCTAGGCTCTGTGTGAACACAGGCAGTCTCTGCTCTAAAGAACTAATTAAAAAAAGGCAGCTAAATATCAATCATAGCACATATATTCTTGGCAAGAAAAAAAGGTGCCTAGAGTTGAAATGGAGCCATCTTCCAAGGGAGGGTTTCCCTGTCCCTTCAACAGCTCTGCTGCCTTTGAGTGAGAACTAGCCAGATAAGAAGATAGTAAGAAAGCCTTCTGCTTGCTGGTCAAGCCCCCTTCACTTTCTGCTGTGTCTACCTAGTGTTGCTTTATGTAAATAATTAGAGGTGAGGTTTTGTGTTATTCTACAGAGAGACACGCTGGCTTTAAGTTAATCAGCTGTTGTATGATATGAACTATCAGTATGGGCTTGAGGTGGGCAGGCCATGGGGTCTGAACTCTCCCAATGGGCTGGGAGAGGCAGGGGTTTGGAGTTAGAGATCTGGTTCTGTCCATTGTAAATCTAGAGGTTAGCCACAGAGTTCAGATGTGGATCCCCTGCCGGCTTTGCCCAGCATTTGAGACAGCTCAGGTCTAGGGGTGGTAGTTTTGATCCATCTCAACAAAGGGGCTTTTTTTACAGCCCCTCTCCCATACTTTTCATTGGGATGAGGCACAGATCTGTCTGTACGGCTCTGGATAGTGTGTACAATCCCATCATTTAACCTGGTGGAAGTCTTCAAATGAGGAAAACACCACTGGCCAGAGCAGGGAGCTTGGGGTGAGGCATGTCTGATTGTTTTCTATATGACACCGTCTGTCGGTTCAGGCTCATCACGCAGCACAGCTGAAATCAGTAACAAACTGTAAGCAGGTGACAGGTACTAGCTAGCCTGAGCTTGCATCACACGTACTAGGATACTGATACTCAGCACTTACCATTTTTTATTTACGGTAGTGCCTAGACGCCCCAACTGTGATCAAGGTGGCACAGTGCTAGGCACTGTACAAATATGTAGTAAAAGAAACACTACCTCAAAGAGCTTAAAATCTCAATAAGACAACGGGTGAGAGTTGAATCAGATGCACAGTGAGGCAAAATGTCTTGCCCAAGGTTACACTTATATAATGCCATACATTCTTCAAGGCATTTCACAATATTAACTAACCCCTCCCCCCAATCCTTCTAGGTAATTAAGTATGATTGTTGTCCTCATTTTTTTGATGGGGAAACTGAGGCACATAACAGTTGCTGCTTCCCCAGGGATATACAGTGTCAGTGGTACATCTAGTACTAGAACTCAGAGGTCATTGAATCCCAGTCCCCTGTGCCTTTATCCAGATCACACTGAACAAGTTCAATGTAGCCATGTTGCTTTGCAAGCCCTGATAAATTTTGCTTAATAACATGAGTGTGACTGTTACCCAAGGGAAATAGCATATCTGACTCCAGACTCTTAAGGAGAAATCTTACCATCAACAGGATTTCAGATTTCTTTATTTTGGGACCTGATCCTGGGATGTACTTCCTAAGAGGAACTGAGCACCCTCAACTCCCATTGTCTTGGCTGGAAATGTGGGCACTCGCTCCCAGGCAGGATCGGGATCTATACAACTTGTTTTCTTTACATTTGTTCTTTTTCTCTTCACTTTACATACAGTCCACCACAACCATATGTACTGAGCAGCTGGCTGGTGCTTGCACTAACAACCAAGGTGTGGCAATGCCAAGAATGCAAATGTATTTTAAAATAGATATGTGTGATTGTAAAAAAAAAAAAAAA